GCCCGGCGCCGCTCAGCGCGGCCCCGCTGCCCTGGGAAGGCCGGAGAGGAGCCCCGCGGTGGAGGAGCTCCAAGCAGGAGCGTGGAGAGTGGCTGCTGAGGGGCGTCATGCGCAGGAGGCAGAAACAGGCCAAAGAGAAGGAGCTCGAGGACGGAGCGTTACGGAAACGGGCAAAGAAGAAAGTGGCGAGGCACGTGGCTTGTGCATTCAGTATATATAATTATTTTAAATGTTTTTCTACTTCATGTTACTTTCCTGGTGTATATCCTAAAACCATGTCAACGGAGTATGATTGTGGCTTTCAAAAATGAGCACCAAGGAAAGGAGTCAAAATACTGCTCTAGATACTAGATTTTTTTTGGCTCATGCTGAGTGCCAGGCAAAGAGGCCAAAGGGAAGGCGATTGCACCGCAGCATTTGCAAACACCTGGGGGCTCCTGCCCTGCTCCCATGGCCCGGCTGCCTGCTGGCTCCTGGGACATGCTGTGTCCTCCTGGTTTCCGCAGGGGAATCGCTGCTCACCGTGGCTGCCTAAAATGGATCCCTTCTTCTGCCCGTAGTCTCTCTAGCACGAATATTTTGAAGAGCACCCTTGCTGTGTGAGGGAGGTAATTATCTGTGCTAGTTGTGCTGTGATTCCTGCCAGGCTCCCCCTGGAAACAGGCGACCAGCATCCACGAAGGCTCCTGAACGCTGTAACAGCCAGCGAGCTTGCAATAAAAAGGAGTTTCAAATACATGCATGGCTCCATTATATTTGTTCAGTCTGGCAGGCATAGCCAACATATATTTTGCATCTGCCTGCATATCTAATTTATATTTAAGCATAGTTAATTTCCAGAAGGAATGGAAAAATAAAGTGGCTTTCCTGAGGCAGCTCGTTGACCCACCTGGAGCAAGGGCTTGTAAGCAGGTGAGGTTTATAACCCTGGGGAGACTTGCCTTGCATGTAGTATCTTTGGAAATGAAAGAAGGGAGGAGGAAAGAATATCTGCAAGGAGGAATGATTCTATAGTAGAAGTAATGAATTCCTGATTTCAGTGGCTTAGAACTTTTCCTGTGAAACCGTATTTTAAAATATGTGAAATCTCAAAAATTTTTTTTTTTTAAATTGCAGGAATTCATGAAAGGAGAGCTGTGACTTGCTAGAGCTTCACAGAAAGGCCAGTGGAGGAGATTCACACAACTGAAGGTAAGATCAAGGTGGTTTTTCTTGTCCAGGTGCATGCCCTCAAGAATAATAGGTATATACAAACAAAACTCTGCCAATGGTCTTGGTGTGTAACAGCACTGGGTGGCAGAGTTGGGTGATTCTTCCCTAAGTCCTTCAGGTAGCTCTTGCGATAGCTACTTTTGCTATATACTTCAAAAACAATGAATGTATTCTAAATTATTTTATTAGGTAGTAAGAGTTAAACTGCTGAGATTTTATTTTCCTTATTGCCATTTTCAAAATCCTACTGTTTTCATTATCTTTTTTTTTTTTCTGCATAGTTTTAATATGTTCAAAATGTTCTCGGTGGAATGATTCTAATCCTTTATACAATGCCATAATGACAAGAGAAAATAATAAATGGCATAAATTTAAGGTCACTGTAATTTTTAAAGGATTATTATTTTAAATGCTTTTAGCTTTAAGCTATTTCAGTGTTATTAAATGTGCATGGTTAGTTGAATAACCTGTTGAATCTGTTGACCGTTGCAAGAATTTAATGAGGTTTCCTGCTTTTTCTTTTTGTATTTTTCCATTGCATAATTACTGCATACAGGAGCGTTGTTTATTTGGGGAGATTACAGACCAATTTTTTTTTTCTCTAAGTGTCACATTTGATTTACTCCCATATAACTTATGCTAGGATTTGTATTATGTGTTCAATTACATGAGTAAAGTAAAAAAAATAAAATCTCCCAGGTGCTTGAACTCTGAAGTCTAACAGTTCTAAATAAAATGTATATAAAAAAAGACTGGTTTATTACACAAGGTAAACAAATATTATGTTGAAATTCTCATATTGGAAAACTAGCATATTCAATTTGTAGAAACTTTGTCCTGGCTGAAAAGCAAGTTGCAGCAGCACCTACAGAAGGTCTCAGATAGTATTTGTGTGTCTTTGATTTTACAAGTGATGAACAGTAAATTGGCATGAGGTTGCCTCAGGATGTAAGATTACAATTTGAGGTGTACAATGGTGAGTATGAAAAAGAAATTTTTTAATGACCTTAGCATATGATGAACTTATTTTTTAGAATCTTAGATCTATAGAATTATTTTGGCCCTTGTGGCTTTGGCATGCTAACACCAATTCAAATCATAGCAGCTTGGCACAGTGTCAGACACAATGATCTCAACAACAGGAAATTCTACAAGTTTGCTGTATGCTTCTGTAAAGCACACTTCATTTCAGTATCTCTAAATGTGCTTTCTTTAAAGTATCCTGTGTTTTAGTTTTATGGTAGAATAAAAATTGTGCAATTTCCATTTTGGAATGTGTTACTGCTTTCTGTGCGGCTAAAACAATGCCTCCTACATCGTTTATAAGGTCCAGGGCCTGATCTCATTTAGATAGGCAAGCATTGCTGTGTTTCTTGTCAAAACTACTTAGTAGCTGATTTTACATGATTCAGTAACCAGCAATACATTCTGGGGTATCTTGGGTCAAAATCAGGTTAAGATGTGTAGTGCTCAGTTACAGTGTAATCTTCATTTCGGAAGTGGGTAAACCTATGCCACAGTATGGTTCAGGACACTGGAGGTCAAAGCTGAATTTTCACCTGTTAATAAACCATGAAATACAAATAAATGCATTGGAAGGTAAGTGTTGAAAGGCGATTTAATTATCAGTACTCATCAGAAGCTATGGCATGTTGATGTACTAACACTTAGAGCTATTTGCTGCCTCTTAAACACCAAGCACCTGTAAAGTGTGAGGCTATGTTTCAATATTCAGCTTGAGGAGCTCTACTAACCTTCTCTTTTCCCATCCTTTCCCTTTGTTTTGCTCTGTCTCGATCTCACTGTCATTTGTTGCTAGCTGAAAATGTATATAAAAGTATGGTGAAAGGATGTGGTCCCCATGCTTTAAAAGTTATTTTATTTTTTACCCTCCAGGGTTACTTTTAACACTGATCAACTCACTGATCAGTAATGTAACCCCTCAACATCTGGTGAAAATGTTTATATGTGTCGACTGCAAATGGGGCAGATGAGTGCAGGAATCTCTTGATGTGGCTTTACAAAGTAGAGAGCAAGCTCTATCTGTGTGTGGTTTTTTTTTTTTTTCCCCTGATGTAATAACTCCTGCTCTATCACAGGAAGAATGTCACACCAAAACTTTCTGCTGTTATCAATAT